ATCGATTTGTTAGTCATCACAATTTAGTACTAGTTAATCTTTTATTTCCTGACCTATTTTCTGGAGAAATTTTCAGAATTTAACCAGAAAGCTCAAAAAATTTTGAGAAGAATCAAACTTTTACTTTGAACAGCCAGACTAATAAATCGTTTTCTGCACGTTAATTCGCTATTGACATGTACTATTGATGTACTTGAAATAATTTTTTTGTGATTTGGAAAGACATCTCAGTTTTTTACGCATACAAATCACGGTTGTTAATTATAAGTAGACATTGGGCTTATGTTTTACCTTAGTAAAGGAGAGTTTCATTGCGTTTTGCACTTCAACTTAGCTAAATAATGATATCCAGCATCATTTGCGATGTTAAGTGACGCATCGATCATGTCCATTGCGGTATCAAGGTCGCCTTATCTTACCGAATTCAAGTCTATCTTTCTCATTTTCAGCAAGATAAACTTGATAAGATTGCTTAATCGCTAAAGATTCGCGCGCAGTCGGAGCGCCAGCTTTACCTGCAAAGGACTTTAATCAATGTTGGATGACTATTGGGACCACCACTAACTCCTATGGTCTGAGTAGATGTGAAGTCTTCTGAAGCTGTTCTTAATTTCTACATCTGAGTCACCCGCTGTTTTCTTTATATGCGGGATTATCGAACTCTTGTTATCAGCTTCAAGCTTCGCTGATTGCCAGCAGTTACTTTGTGTAAAGTGCCATTATTGTTCAAACAAGTGCTATATTGTTTGTTTTATTGATTTTATGTTTTTTTTCTGCACATTTATGGGGCAGACAGAAAACTCAGCATCGCCCTTGACTTCGTTTATGATAACGGAATTATTATCTGCTTTCTTTTGTTTTTGTGCAGTTATTAACAGACTCGCCACATGTGGGCTTTAGCCGGAATGTCAATTCTTCCATACATAGATAATAAACTGAACGTAAAACGTTGACATATCATAATAATTTTTTATTTAGGCGGTAACTTCTCAACGGCTAATCTTCTCCGGCGCATGTCTTACTGATGATATGGTTATCAAAGATGTCATGGATCAGAGGTGAGTCAAAAGAGAGACTACACACAAATAGTGCAGTGTATCAAAAAGTTGTTTGTACCGTCTTTCTACATTTCCAGTCATTAATCTTTCGTTTGCAGAAAGGTAGTGGATGGTCCACAAGTTCTGCATCTTGTATGTCCATTACCGCAATCAAGCCCTACAGAGTTAAGGCAGCGACACACAGCCACTGCAAATGCACCATCGTGAGTGATTTATTGTTGTAAGTCGTTCATACAAGAAGTGCGTCCTGAGTACACTCCGCACCCTTTACATTTTTACACGGCCTTTTCTTATAAACACACTCTAGCTCTGAATGACTTGCGTAATCATATAAATTAGTTATAGAACTAAGTACCGCGTACGGTTGAGCATTGTAAAGAGTCATCGAAACTGTGTTTTTACCTTGAAATTGACCTTGATTGACTTTGCTTTGAATACTTCGAACGCTGGCGTGGTCTATCCTTGGCGACAATCACAATCTTTCTTTACTTTATTGCAGCCACATTGAACTGGTTACGAGGAAGTGGTGGAATATCACAGTGTAGAGAATGATGAGACTTTTTTGATTAACATATCATTTCATATGCAAATCATGTGAATATCACAATGTGATATAATTAGAGTTTATGTGGGAGTGGTGATGATGTTTAATGATTTGGTGTGAATATAAATTTCCAGCATGACCTCGTCTATACGAGAATAATTCTGCGTCAATCTGGAGGAGATCATTTGACCAATTCTGATGAAGGCTTTTGCATTTAGTGGTTCAAAAAGCAAATGTATTTATACGTTCAACAAATGGGGGAGGAGTAAACCCTTTTTATCTTATGGAATAATCTTTTAGTCCCTCTCAAG